GTTACAGGGCCCTGTTTCCTTTTGTCCGAGTTCGGACACCGCGGCCACGCATATAAACCATACGGCTCCGATTTCGGAGTCCCCGGCAGGTAGCGGTTAAAGGTCATGCATGTGTACTGTATTTTGGAGTTACTGAACATGATGCATGTGGAAGGGCATGATTATGTGTTCATAGCTGTCATTTAGTTGGTACCTGTAAGTTCCAGGTATACTGCTGGACTCATAATTTCAGTATATGTGTATGGAATGCCGCTAATATGTTACAGTATAATTACTTCATAAGTTTGTTGATATGTGAGAAGAAAACATGTGTACAGTACAGGTCAGAATTTTAGCAGACACTATCAGTGAACCTGACATGCTGTTCAAAGCACGCTTTGCGGTTTTTACGTGTATTGCTGGTCCAAAGCACGATAAGCCTGACCCTGGTGACCAACACGCAGTGAACCACTGCACATGCAGAGCTGTCGCTCCAGCTTCACGTATGCGCGTACATCATGTACATGCACATGTACAATGTATGGCAGTGCACTGAATAAGTGAAATCACATACACGTACATGAACTCGTAGTGCCTGGCTAGCAAGATGACCATCTTGAAGTATTGAAATATGTATCACTATCACAGCTGTTCTCTTTTCCCTGTGGATCGTGAAAGTTGTTCAGTCAGATTACATCTTGAAAATGTCAAATTTCAGTGATTAACTGGCCAGTAGTCCACCATATGTGTTTAGCTACTACTAAACTTTTTGTCAAACAAACTTTTTGTAAGCTTTAAATTTTAAACTCATGGGATTGACTGGAGTGACGACTTATATAACGGGTTTTGCCCTTGCCCAACGTATATATTAATAAACACTGTATACTCAGTGCTTGTCCGAGAGCTTGCGAAAAAAGTCACAATCTTACTCGGGTGGGACTTGAACCCATGACCTCCTGCTTACTAGTGCAGACGTCTTAACCACTCGACCACCGAGCTTGCTGGGGTCGGCTGGCCGGTCCGAGTCAGGTGAAGCAGCGGGTACCGCGAACTATTTTCAAGATGTATTTTTGCGTTGGGGATGTAAATTTATATGACGGGTACCCAACGTATATATTAATAAACACTGTATGCTCAGTGCTTGTCCGAGAGCTTGCGAAAAAAGTCCCGAGCTTACTTGGGGCACTACTTTATCCGTTGTGTGCAGCTGGTGCATGCACAGTGCTAGCGCTAGTGCAGACCCGACTCTTTTCTTTTAGGTGCGATCTTTGCCATTCAGTTTGGTCCTAATATTGTCACAATCAGAGCAATTTTTTATGGTACGTTTTCCAGCTCAAAGGCCGAAAACTGATGGGAAAAATCCCCACCTCATATTGAATTTTATATTCATGCAATTTTGAGCACACAATTAGCTTGAGTATGTATGCTAGGATCACCGCCGTGGGGGCTGTCTTGACTAAAATTTGGCTAGCAGACCAGCAAGGTCAAACTCTGTTTACATTTTGTGGATTTCTTTCAAAATACTTTTCTCTGATTTAGGAAATGTTTTGTCCTCTAAACTGCTAGTTATAATTTTCTCTGTTGAAAAATTGATTTCATGCTCGAATATTTTCTGTGCCTAATTTGGAAGTTTTGGGAGCAATTCAGACATGAACCAAAAGTGTTGTCCATGTGGCAGTTTCTTCGATCCTGTATGGACAAACAAAGCACTTTATCTTCGCAAATGATTTGAGATTTGAAGATAACTTGAGCTGCAGTCAAACTGAATACTTTTTGATGTGGGAAATTAGGAAAATGACTGCTCCGGTCAACAAAGGCCTGGCTGTTCTGTAGCGTGTGCATGTTTATACTCGGCAGATTGGATTGCAGTGTCGGCGTTCTCTGTTAATCAGGGGTCAGCGTGTTTCGTGTTTGTGGTTAACTCCTTTTGTGTTTGTTTGACTCAATACACGCTGACATGCTAAGCATGTTTGCATGTCGGCTAAAAATCTGACCTGTTTCGTACATTAGTACATGTACATATTGTGGCGGTTTCGTCTAAAGAACTGCATCGGGAAGAGCTCCCAATCCACGGCAGCGAGCAATCTTGCTGGGCAGGCATGGGAAGCGTATCCGTTTTGATGGCAGTCTACCGCCAGGTGCGCACGGCACACCACGGCACACTCACCCACCCACACTGACGGAACTGACGGCGGCACAGAAATCAAAGGAGCAACAGACACTGATATTCAGGAGACACTGGTTTAATCTTGGTCTTTTTGTCTTGACTCCTCTACAGGCGAACACCTATCTAGGAACCTACTCACTAGTTCCATCACAATAATCTGCTTAACATATGCGATGATTGGTTATTCGGGGACAAACTGTTGGATCAGATATCCCATTAGATTTACTAATTACATTCACAATTTACCCCTCTAGTGATGTCAATTGGTGATACAGGCTATCTGATTTCCGTGGTAACAATCAATGTCCTACCTCACTAGATCCTGATCAGGCAAGAGGCCCTGGCCACGCGGTCTAGGCCTTATATACACTACGCCATTGCAGTCTGGCACACCCGGCATTGTACCAACATGCGTCAGACGGCTAGGAACTAGCCTGGAGCAGCACAAACCACGGAATTGCCCATCGATTTCGACATAATCGATTCTACTAGGCTACTTTACACTGCATTGTGTTACAATACAGTGTTTGTTTTATTTGGTTCTCATCCCTAGGCTTTCAGCTTTCACCTGTTTACTGGTTTTATTGCTTGATGTTAAAATATTTACGCAACTGCCATTACTCATTTTTGGATAGTGGTCATTCGGTATCACTATACCTTAATCGTGGTCTTGATATCACAATATCTTGCTTTAGGGGTGGCGGTCATTGGGTATCGTCAATCATGAAGTGTGGCCTGATTGTTGTGGTCATGGGTATCACAATTACTTTGAGTGAGGGTGGTCATGGGTACTGCTTAATTTTGAATGAACAGACTAGAAGTTCATTTACATGAAATCTAGAGTTAAAAAAGCATTGCTATGGCAGAGGGATGAACTGAACAAAGTTCTTGTTAGCTTTCAATAGATTAGCTACCATTTAATCTGGAATAGAGACCCAGCTGGAATGGAGACTCGTACAACCTCCACATCTCCAAGAATCAAACTTTTTGGGGGGATCCACTGTACCTTTAATTTCAGTACCTTTTCTTCTGATTCAAGCAATGCAAGTAAACAGCTATTGCCTTTAAAGGTTATCATAATTTCTGTTCATGTTCATACAAGAAATACATCAGTTAAAGAATGTTGAACAAAATATGTAAACCATCAAGTGGTTTTTTTTGGTAGTAAGTCAAAGTATGAAAAGAATAGAATGGACCTTTCCCTTGAAATATGCAAATAAGGCAGGTGCATGCGCATTACTACCACTGGTTGGCAAAGTTCCTAGAATCTGACATACCGATAACAAGATAAATCTCTATACATGTATGCTTGCAACTAGGAGCATGTACACGCTGTTTCCATACTAGTATAGTTCGACATGAGTGCCAAACTTAAAGAAAAGGAATTATTACTTTCCAACCTCAGGACACTGAAAACTTCCCTTAGTTTTGAGAAAAGCGTGCTGAAGTGTCCGAAAAAGGCTGTAATACGGTTTTGTTTGACCTTCAATGTGCTAGGTTTTGGTTAGAACAGCTCTCCTACACTGCCGACAGTGTTGACGCCGTGCTTGCCAACCAGTGGTAATAGTGCACATACGACCGTCTAATTTGCGTATTTCATGGGAAAGGTCCCTTGGTAGAGGCTGTATCCATATTACATGTATAACACAATTTTTTTATTCAAGTGTTATCAACTTAGTTTTGTTGTAAGTCTATCAAAAGTATGTTATATTTTTTTCAGGTTCACAAGTAGTTATGACTGGTCAAAGCAAATCCAGTTGCAGGTCAACCGCTTTAACAAGGCTTTTCAGCTGCAACTTCACAAGGCAAGTACACCACCTATGCCTTTAACAAATTTGAAGGAACGTATAGTATTTTTTTAAATTACATGTATATTCATTAATTGTGTATGGTGAAGTCAAGGACACACGGAAGAACAACTTTTTATAACCAAGAACCTTTGTTGTGCCAGGCATACCTATCAGAAAGTGTAGCAGTTTGTGTACAGGCACGTAATTAATATCAGTATATTCATTACTCCCAAAAAAAACCAAGTATATGAACACAGAAGTTGTGTTTTTGGACAGCGGTGCTATGTTACTGGCTAGCAAAATTGATCAGCACACGATAACAGTTACACGAAGTGCAATTCTTAAAAAGTACTAAAAAAAGGGTGTCCACGAGAGGACCACGCAGAATGTGATAAGGTGGGGGTCAATGGATTTGGCTGAAATATGCTATGTATGGGGTCACATATAGCCTTGAGGTTGTGCAAACTTTTATATCAATCTGATCTGATCTTCAGGAAAAATGGCCCAATATATACTTTTTTAGTAAAAAATGTGTGATTTTCATAATTTGGGCCTAAAATTTTATACGCTTGCCGTTTTACAATGGAAAGCGCTAGAGTGAAATTTGCAGGGTTTTGAGCTTGCATCCTGCCCTAAACCTGATGTCAAAATTGAGGGGGAAAAGTGTATTTTGAGGCAGAGGCAAGCCTTTACTAAGGAGTACCCCTAAATTTGTGTCAAAATTAGAGCTATCTTTGAGTAGCTATGGGGTCATTAGTGCGGGTCTTGAATGAATGAAACTCTGATGAAAGAAAGTCCTTATTGTGGTCTTTTGGCAGCATCAATAAAATATTTGTCAGCAGTTTCATTATGGACTTGCAGGAGCCTTATTTTAGCCTCATATTGTGTATTTAGCCATCTATCAGTTGAAATTGGTACCAGTTTTGATTTTGATTGCTCGTTTTTCATGGTAGTCTCGATGCATTGTAAAGAAAGAAAAACTCTATTAACATAAATGATATCATTTTTTATCCTTAAATGTTTTATTACTCTGGTATTATGGTGAAAATGACAGATTTCCTTGGGATGAATAGTATCCTAATTACACAAACTGGGCTTTTGTTGCTTGTCAGTATATTCTGCAGATATCATAAGGATCATGATTCATCTCGTATTTGTAACCCCTTTATGCTAGCTTTTCAGCTTTCTCATTCATATGGTCACATCAGTACATACATGTGCACGTATCAGTGCAAGCTTTTGGGCGTAAAATTGGCAGGTCATTGTTGTGCTGTCAAAACATTGTACACTGTCTTGCTGCAAAGCACGGGCCATTCTAGACTACGGCAATTAGTTGGAAAATAAAAGAAATACACATAAAATAACTCTAGTTTAATTGAAAAAATAATACAAATGTGGCAATACTCATTTCTTTATCGTACAGTCTATATTAATTTACTGTGCGAAAAAAAATCAATATTACACAGACGGTATTGAAAGCATCTGAGTATGCAGCTCCATTCAAAAAGATTTCAGCGAGTGGTTTATATGCTCTGCAACAGTGCAAACAAATGTAGTAAATGTAAATTTCCTGTAACTGACACAGTCATATGAAAGTTTTGCAGAAAATACAAGAGATAGAGACACTTTCTCATCCATCAACACCCTAAAAAAATTAAAACAAAAATGGGCGGGAAAAAACCTAAAAAAATAAAACCAACTACCTAAAAAACTTGGTTGAGTCCATGTCGCAAAACCTTACCCAACTCAAAAAGGCCATGCCTTGTATGGGAAACAAGTTGGGAATGATTGTTCTGGAAATGAACACAAATCATTAAATGATACGAAACTCGATGTATACAGTCTCATAGCCCGCTCTGCCTCTGTACGGCATCCACAAGTATACTGGCCTCAGAGTGTGCACTGACTGCGCTGGCTCCTGTCCAGTAGCTAACCCCAAAATTCAAGCAATAGTAGATCATAGAGTTTAGTTCGAAGAATGTCTTTATTCCTTGAACTTCCATGAACTGGTACTATGTGCCTTGAAGTTAATTCGTGGGTAAAACTGGTAAAACAAAATATTACAAACATAAGGTCAGTCCTCCATATTTGTGAAAGAAATTGTGAAAACCAACCCCAATAAACGTACAAAACTTCTTGACTATGTCAACACACAATTAAACAACCCTAAATCAAACTGTCACCAGTTTCCTCTTCACATGCCAAAAACACACTAGTGAAATGACTGTCAAAGGGAAATAATAATGGTGTGTACATCCAGATATATACCATTACAATAATCCATTATAAAGTCCCAAGATTGATTTGTATACACTACACATTACCTCCAATGTGACAAAGGGATCGTATGGTGTGCATTCAGTCACCCACATGTACATAAAAATAATACTAATAAAGGTACAGACTTGTGGGCTTCCAGGCTTCCTCCGACACAATCAGAATCTCATGTAAAGAACTGTCACAGATGTTCTTAAAAGGGTTTAACAAACACCGGGCTCACCCAGCAAAATGTCTCTGTAACGGATGACAGTCATAATGGCAACTTTCAAAATAAGTTTCAAAATACATGAATCTGATTCTGGATTTATGGTACATGTAAACTAATGTGTACATGTAGATTGACATAATCTTATACATTACTAAACTGAGACGGACAAAATAAACCCCTAAATCACAATGAAATGAAACCTTCATAATCAAGTTAACAACACAATAATGGAGCTTAACTTACGTAAAAATATATGGATGCTTAACCCTCAGGTTATAGCTTCTAAAAGCACTATAATTTTAGGGCTCTCAGACACAAAGTTGGAGACCGTGAACACAAAAACTGTCCGTACATGTCAAACAGTTAAACTAAGCAACGTACCATGCATATCCAAGGTGCGCTGCCACCTAGGTATGGCACGCCTGGGAATATCACCTAACTATGGAGTGCAAAAATATACAAAATTAAAGCTTGGGTACAGCACATTCCCCCAGACGTCCTATAGACGTCAAACAGTTTGTTGATGACAAAGACCAAAGTATCTGCTCAATCTGCTTCAATTAACAGAATTAACTCATGTACAGGTCTGCAGTAAGTTTTGCCTGTTCATGACAAACGAATGTGCACCTCTTGAACCAACCCCTCATCTCCAGGACTAACACTGTCAACAGTCCCCAATGGCCACCGGTTCCTACTGACGTCCTTATCCCTCAACATCACTACGTCCCCAACAGCCATGTTCCTTTCCGGGCTGATCCATTTACGCCTCTGCTGAAGACTCTGGAGGGAGCGGAGTCTCCATAGTTTCCAGAAACGGTCAGCGAGAATCTGCACCATCTTCCACTGAGCCGTGTACATGTTGGAAGTACAATCTTCGATGACTACCTCCTCAACACTCCCGTGTTTCTGAGTCAACAGCATTGATGGTGTGAGTAATGAAATGTCTTCTGGATCAGAGCTCAATGGGACGAGAGCATTACTTGACCGAGCCCAGTCTAATGTGGCTTTTGCGTTTCCCGGGTTCGCATTCAAGACCTCCCCACCTAGCTTATGGCCTTTCTAGTGGTAAACGACCCACGATGTAATGGCTTCAATCAGTACACGGCCATGTGTGTCCAATTTTAGGTCTGATTTATGGCGGTTTATGGTGGTTTGTCTGCAGTAGGCACTGTATGTGTGGTTGCAGCGCGGCCTGGCTGCAGGCAGGAAAGTGTGGTAGTGAACTTATGTGTGAGTGATCAACGTACATGTATGTACAGCAACTAAATGTACACTGCACATGTAGCTTCACCTTGACGTCCTGTACATACTTACATGTACATAGGTACATGTACAAGCACATGTACTGTACATGTACCTGTACATGCACATGTACATGTGGGTACTTGTCATTGTGTGACCACTTGCATGAAATTCCGCAATAATTTATGGCCAAAATAGGCCTACAGCGCAATTTTGATGGTCAAGATGTAATAGTTCTTGTGTATTCGAAAACAACATTACTTCTTATAAGTTCAATTGTTTTCCTGTCCTTGGCTGTTTCAAACATAAAAAGAAAATGGGTTCAATCTGACCACTTTTCCAATCATAAAGGAATTGTCTGAGAGGATCAAAACTGGAACAAGAATACGCTCTCACATAAGTCTTCCATGTTTCTCAACCCTAGTCATTTGTATGGTGGGGTAATTTACAGTAAAGTGAAGCTCAACTGAATACATAATACTGTTGTATATTAGCCTATTAAACAAACTTACGAAATGGAACGCAAGGCACTTCTGCTCAGTCAGAACTCTTCTCATGTATTCATGTCACAACCTCCATGTTACATTACGTCCTTCATTTTCCGTGTCAACCCAAAGAGGGCGCTATGCAAACTTGTGGACACAACATCTCCCCTCCACTTGAGAAG